GGCTTATATTTTGTTCGTTTTCTCTTAATATAAGAAATCTTCTTTTCCCAACCTGAAACTGAAAACATGTTTAACTATCCTGTTGTCGAAAGAAAATTTTATATATTAAAAAAACAAAAAAATGTAAGCCCCACCCACCCGCTCGGATTTCAATTGTGATGAGTTTTTAAAGGTGGAGTTTAATTGTAACATCAAAATTTCTCTAAAAAATTCTACCCTGTTAAAAACATACTTCATATCAGTGGCGGCTCGTCAGGGGAGGCAGGGGAGGCAGTGCCTCCCCTGGAAAAATTGACTATTAATTTTTGTTTTAATATCTGTTGACTTCAAATATATTTTAAAGATACAGCAAATAACTTTTAGGGAACACTGTGATTTATTAAAACGCGTCTTGGTAACGTATTTTGAAGTTCGCGCTTTCGACAGGAATAAGCGCTGATCATCGCCGTGTAGGCCAGCTTCAGACGGAGGCATGCCTCAGATAGACGGATGTCTTCAGTATGATTAGTCAGTGGTGCTAATATGTTTTTGAGAAAGACAATAGTCATCAGTGCTTTATCAAAGCGCCAGCGGAGGCACCAACGCCTACCTCCCGTAAGCCAATCAGATCGAATTTTTTTATCTCACGGTGAAACTGCACAATGCTGAACAGGGATGCTGAATGCATTTAGTGTGCATTTAGTTGTGCGTTAATTAGACGCGAGGAAAGGTGTTCACTGCATGTGCATTGCCAAGGTTATGTATTAAAACTTTTAAGTTAACTTGGAAACAGTAGGACAATAAAAATGTCAGTTTTGCTATGCTGATAGCAACATAAGAATCTATAATCTCCAGAATTTCTTATAAAGTTTAAATATTTAAGCACGGTTTCCTTACGACGAACAATTGTATGTCAAAGATTTAGAACCTCTCATGCAGATTTGAGCAGAACTTTATTAATTAATTGATTAATAAGTATACAGGGTGTTATTGAAAGGTACGTACAACAAAATGGACAGTTCTTCGCGAAGTCTAAGAAGTCGGAAAAACTTATTTTGTGTTATCAAAATTATAAGGGGAAAATTAACCCTTATCCAACCTTTTTAGGCGCTACTGAAGGATAAATAGGTAAAATTAATTTATTTTACTAAATCCTAGCAACTGTAACAATAAAACTTTTGTGAAGACTAAATGTTGCTATAGAAACGAAAGACGATCTTTTTATCAAAGGCGTACAACGAATTTGGAGATAAATTTTAATAATTTTTATCTCTAAAAGGAGAACACTTTTACCTGAACTTTTCTTAACTTTTAGCGTCTATACTTCGAGACCAATTGCCGATTTTATTTTGTACGAAACTTTCAATAACAGGCTGTATTTAAATCAGCCCTAGATCATATGAATTAATATTTAATGCTAATAAAACAAATTCTGCAGTCTTTAGACCTTCTCGTTGGTTTGTGTGAAGCAGTTAAATGTATTTTATTCGAGAAGTGTACCCATATAGAGATACTGACTCAGAGCTAATGTATTGTTTTCATAAAAACGAATAAACAATCTGTCGTTTAACAGAAGTAATTGCCAACATGTTAATTAATGCCTGCTGATTTTGAAACGAAATTGTTGCCTCACCTAACGAAAAGACCACGAGCCGCTACTGCTTCATATGCTAATTTCTTGTAGCGAAATAAGGATTTTGCAATTAAACACCGCCTTTCAACTCATGATGAATAAAGCATTCGTCACAATTGAGAAAGGGTGGGTGGGCGGGGCTTATATTTTGTCCATTTTTTCTTAATATATAAAGTCTTCTTTTCCAACGAGAAACTGAAAGCATGTTTAACTATCCTGTTCTTGAAAGAAAACTCTATATATTAAAAAACCAAAAAAAAAAGTAAGCCCCACCCACCCGCCTGGATTTCAATTGTGATAAGTTTTTAAAGGCGGAGTTTAATTGTAACATCAAAATTTCTCTAAAAAATTCTACCCTGTTAAAAACATACTTCATATGCTAATTTCTTGTAGCGAAATAAGGATTTTGCAATTAAACTCCGCCCTTCAACTCACGATGAATAAAGCATTCGTCACAATTGAGAAGGGGTAGGTGGGCGGGGCTTGTATTTTGTCCATTTTTTCTTAATATATAAAGTCTTCTTTTCCAACAAGAAACTGAAAACATGTTTAACTATCCTGTTGTTGAAAGAAAACTCTAGATATTAAAAAAATAAAAAAAAAGTAAGCCCCACCCACCCACCCGGATTTCAATTGTGATGAGTTTTTAAAGGTGGAGTTTAATTGTAACATCAACATTTCTCTAGAAAATTCTACCCTTTTAAAAACATATTTCATATGTTAATTTTTTGTAGAGAAATGAGGATTTTGCAACTAAACTCCGCCCTTCAACTCACGATGAATAAAGCATTCGTCACAATTGAGAATGGGTGGGTGGGCGGGGCTTCAATTTTGTCCATTTTTTCTTAATATATAAAGTCTTCTTTTGCAACAAGAAACTGAAAACATGTTTAACTATCCGGTTGAAAGAAAACTCTTTATATTAAAAAAAAACAAAAAAAAGTAAGCCCCACCCACCCGCCCGGATTTCAATTGTGATGAATTTTTAAAGGCAGAGTTTAATTGTAACATCAATATTTCTCTAGAAAATTCTACCCTTTTAAAAACATATTTCAGATGGTTGTTTCTTGTAGAGAAATGAGGATTTTGCAGCTAAACTCCGCCCTTCAACTCACGATGAATAAAGCATTGGTCACAATTGAGAAAGGGTGGGTGGGCGGGGCTTATATTTTGTCCACTTTTTCTTAAAGTATGAAGTCTTCTTTTCCCAACAAGAAACTGAAAACATGTTTAACTATCCTGTTATTGAAAGAAAACTATATATATTTAAAAACTAAAAAAAAGTAAGCCCCACCCACCCACCCGGATTTCAATTGTGACGAGTTTTTAAAGGCGGAGTTTAACTGTAACATCAGTATTTCTCTAGAAAATTCTACAATTTTAAAAACATATTTCATCTACTAATTTTTTGTAGAGAAATGAGAATTTTACAACTAAACTCCGCCCTTCAACTCACGATGAATAAAGCATTCGTCACAATTGAGAAGGGGTGGGTGGGCGAGGCTTATATTTTGTCTAGTTTTTCTTAATATATAAAGTCTTCTTTTCTAATAAGAAACTGAAAACATGTTTAACTATCCTGTTGTTGAAAGAAAACTCTATATATTAAAAAAACAAAAAAAAGTAAAAAGCAAATTGGAACATTTAGCTTCTAACAAAAATTTAGAAACAGAAAAATATAGAGTCAATAACAAAGACAAAAGCGAAAAGATACCTTGTGAAATCTGTAAAAATAAAAACAAAGGTATTGGATTTCATCCTGGAACCGAATGCTGGTTCAAAGATAGAAAAATCGATGAAGAAAAAACACGTAAACAATTCTATATTAGAAGTAGAAGTGAGTAATAATGATCAAAAAAACTAATAGTTCCACCATTAATTATTCTCAAGGCAAAACTAAACGACATCTTAGAAGTATCTGCTATTTATGATGCAGGCTCAAATGTCTCATTGATAAATTCAAAACTAATACGTTGGAAACCAAGAAAGGACAATCCGATGCAAAAGATTAACTTGAAGACAATTAATGGTGTACATAAATCAGATGGAGTGATAACATTAAAACTAAAAATATAGAAGAAAAGATAAATGTATTCATCACAAATAATGAAAATTTTAAGAAATCTTGACAAATCACCTGAACCATCATGAAGAAAAAATGATAAAAAAACTTATAGAGAAATATAAAAATATATTTGCAAAAGACAAATACGATATAGGGACGGTAAAGGATTACGAAGCCAGAATAGATCTCATAGTAGATAAATATTGCAGTAAGAGACCATATAGATGCACAATTGAAGACAAAAATGAAATAGAGGAACAAATTTCTAAACTACTCAAAAGAGATTTAATCGAAGAATCATGTAGCCCTTTTGCAGCCCCAGTAACACCAGCTTATAAAAAAGATGAAAACAAAAAATCAACATTATGTATAGATTTGAGAGACCTGAATAAGATAATAGTTCCCCAATCACAACCTTTTCCATTCATCGAAGATCTAGTAATAAAAACAAGAAATTGCAGATACTTTTTGAAACTTAACATTTCTCCCCTAAAGGATAATTTGATTTCAACGAAATTTTCCGGTTTCAAGAAATTAGAAAAATGTTCTTAGGGAAGATAAATTTTTATAATTAATATGTACCGAAAATTTCTATTATTCTGGAACCACTAAATAATTTATTAAGAAAAGGTAAAGAATTCACCTGGTCTACAGAATGTCAAAAAGCCTTCGAATATATGAAGAATTTCCTCTGCCAGCAGCCGGTCTTAGCTATTTTTGATCCGGAATTACCAATACACATTTAAACAACCACAACTAAATAATAATTCGGAGATAGAAAAACCAGTAGCATACTTCTCCAAGAAACTTAATGAATCTCAGAAAAGAAAGAAAGCTGTTCACCTAGAATGTCTAGCAATAAAAGAAGCAGTACAGTATTGGCAACACTTGCTTGAGTTTTGTAAAAAACTTCTAAAAAATACCCAAAGGAATTTTGCCACATAGACATAAAACAAACGCAAAGCAAAATACTAACTTACTATACGGCAGAAGATATATCAAAAAATATCGAAAAAGCTTACAAAAATTGCGAAATTTGCATACATAACCGACTGAACCGAAAAAAATTAGATGTATTAAGAATTGGACCTTACAAAATCCTAAGGAAAATGTCAAATTCTATATACGAAATTGTTTTCTACTTTCGTGAACATACTTTGTCAATTTTTAATGCCCTCTTACGTTTCAGCTGTCTGAATAGTTAAAGTTCCCGCCCAATTGTCCGTGACGTCACTACTCAATCGTCAGAAAACGTCCGCGACCCGCTCCACCGCGAAAAAACGCCTCCCTTCTATTGACTTATCGACCCGTTCCCCGCGCACGCGCACTGCCGCCAGTTTGCGTCGATACGTCAAGAAAATGTCAAAACGAAAACTCAACGAACACAATTTCATTCAAACCAAAAGGCGCCTCGCCAGGCCCGACGCCAAAAAGCACTCCCTCGACTCCGACGAGGAGGACGACCACGATGACGCCGACAACGAGCTCAACGCCGACGACATCGAGGGCGAGGAAGAGGGAATTTCGCGGCAAGTCGAGGGGGTCCGCATGACCGCGTTCAACATGCGCGAGGAAATGGAAGAGGGCCACTTCGACAAAGACGGCCACTTCATCTGGAAGAACGAGAAGGAAATCCGGGACAACTGGCTGGACAACGTCGACTGGCACAACATCCAGAACGAGGACAAGTACCAGTTGGACCCCGACGACAAGGGCTTGGGGGACGAGAGCGACTCGGACTCCAACGACGAGTTCGACGAGCTGGGGCTGTACAAGAAGATGCTCAAGTTCATGAAGCCGAAGGAGACGGTGAATAAGACGATACGCAGGTTAGGGGGGGACAACACGAAGCTGTCGAGTGTGGAGCGGCTGAGGCGGAAGAAAGCGGGGACGTTGAACGAGAGTCAGGATGTGGTGGACATGACGGAGTTTGCCAACACGATTTTGACGAAAACGGGGAACATGAATGTGTATCAAGAGACTTTTGAGGAGATTTCGAGGAAGGTGGAGGATAAGGGGAAGCCGAAGAGTGAGCCGGTGTTGGATATGTATGCTGATGATTTTGAGAGTAAGGAGAAAGAGAAAATTGAGGCGTCTTCCGTGACTAAGACAGGTAAAGAGACTGACTTGATGTGGGAGTTCAAATGGGAACAAGATAAAGACGAAATTCAGGGTCCTTTTGGTACCAGTCAGATGATAAAGTGGGCGAATGAGGGGTATTTTAAAACGGGAGTGTGGGTGCGGAAATGCGGCGAAGAGTCGAATTTTTATACTTCAAATAGGATAGATTTTGAGTTATATCTTTAAGCACTTTCATTGTTATAAAAGTTTTATTATATCAATATAGATAAAAATTAACGATAATTTCATCAATCCTGAGCTGTACAAGTGTAAGGCAGTTGTATAAAATTACATTCCGTTGTAGGCGGGGCCGCCGCCCCCCTCTGGAACGACCCAGTTGATATTCTGACTTGGGTCCTTGATATCACAAGTTTTACAATGTATACAATTCTGAGCATTGATTTGTAGCCTTTGCCCATCTCCACTTTCAAGAGGGACAAATTCATAAACTCCAGCTGGACAAAACCGACCTTCAGGCCCATCAAACACCCCTAGATTCTCTTTAACCGGTACTGTATCGTCCTTGAGGGTTAAATGTGGCGGCTGGTCACCCTCATGGTTGGTCCCTGTTAACGCCACAGACGACAGAAGATCAAAACTAATCTTACCATCAGGTTTTGGGTACTCAATAGGAGTGCAGTCTTTTGCAGGCTTCAGTCTTGTGTGATCAGGAGCACCATGTTTCAAGGTCCACGGTTCTAACCCACCCACAACAATGGAAAAACCACTGTACATAACCCCACCATACATCCCCAATGGATTATGGAAACTGGGCCTTATATTCCTCACCCTCTTTAAATCTTTCCAGATGAAACTGTTTTTAACTTTATCTGGATAACTTTTAGGTTCAAAACCCTCAGTTTCTTGTTTTTCGCTATTAATAGCCTCATACACGCTCTCAGCAGCCAACATTCCACTCTTCATAGCATAGTGGGTGCCTTTTATTTTTGGAACGTTTAAAAACCCAGCGGAACACCCCACCAAACACCCACCAGGGAAAGTCAATTTGGGTATGCTTTGAAAACCGCCTTCATTTAAAGCCCTAGCACCATAAGCTATCCTTGTACCACCTTCAAAGTAATGTTTGACACTTGGGTGGTGCTTGAACCTTTGAAACTCTTTAAAAGGGCTCAAATATGGGTTAGTGTAGTCCAGCGCTACCACAAAACCCACAGCAATAAGAGGCGTTTCTTCATTTAAATGGTACAAGAAAGAACCCCCATACGTAAACTTGTCCAAAGGCCAACCCATGCTGTGTTCCACGCGTCCAGGAACATGCTTTGATGGTTCAATTTCCCAGATCTCCTTCAACCCTATACCATAAGTTTGTGGCTCACTGTTCGCCCTCAAGTTAAATTTGTTGATGATTTGTTTGGATAGGTGGCCATGGCAGCCCTCTGCTAATATGGTGGACTTAGCGTGGAGCTCCATCCCTCGTTCGAACGTGTCTTTGGGGCTGCCGTCTTTAGCAATCCCGACGTCATTCGTAGCTACTCCTTTGACGCTACCGTCGGGGTGGAAGAGGACTTCAGACGCGGCATACCCGGGGTAAATTTCCACCCCTAAAGCCTCCGCTTGTTCACCCAGCCACTGCACGACGTGCCCCAGACGGACTATGTAGTTGCCGTGATTGTACATAGGGGTACCTAAAACCCACCTTAATTACCAAAACTGACACTCGGCTGAGTTTTACCTGGAAGCACAGGCACCGGAATTCTCCCACTAGCTGTCAAAATACCAAACTTATCCTCTTTCACCGGAGTCTTCAAAGGCGCCCCCTTTTCCGCCCAGTCAGGTATTAGTTCGTCAAGGGCAGTCGGTTGAATCACGGCCCCAGAAAGAATGTGGCCCCCGACTTGAGAGGCTTTTTCCACCACGCAAACTCGCAACTCTTTGCCGTCTTTTTCGGCGAGTTGCTTAGCTCGAATAGCGGCGCTCATACCAGCGGGGCCCCCACCGATTATGAGAATGTCGGTTTCGTCCGCAAATCGCTCCATATTGACCTCTATCAAAAAACATTAATACTACTGACGGTGGAAACCTGGAAAACTCACCTTTCCATCGTGGGTCGTTGTCTCGAGGCACCACCGTGTAATGGGTCGTGATTTTTGGAAACTGGTCCGAGTAACATCGCGACAAAGGTCGAAAGGTCTTGACTAAAAAATGGATTGCACTTTGTATCAAAACATATGGGTCCAAAGGTCGCGCTCACAAATGTACACCAAATTTGGACGATTTTAGAGTCTGAGGATGAAATGTTGGTCAAGTTTTACCCAGATTTATTTATTAATTACAACCAATTTTAAATTGGTGAGGAATTTTGGAAAAAAGTTGACATGTACGTAAATCAAGTGAGCGGTTTGGGGTTTTTTCTGTCACAAACAACCAAATGTCGGTTGCTACGGATAAATATGGGGAAACTAAGACTTACCGAATTTTAAAGTTGTAAACAAATTTATTGCCATGTTGACCTGTTTGTACCTGGGTTAATTAAATTTTGACATTGTTATTCGTAAATGACAGCTCATGTCATCACAAAATTTGAGAGTTTTCGGTTACAGGAAACGATTTTACCGACAAGCGATAAATTCCCTACATAGAAAGATACGCATTTATCAAGAATCACTGAGCTCTGAAACCATTATTTACCGTTTTTTCTGGTGATCAGTTATTAATGAGGAGATTAATGCATGATTTATGTACGATAATCGTTTTTTAAATAAAGGTTATTAGTGCACGATTTTAGGCAACCAGATATACACCTCCCAACCTAAAATGTCATTTCTAAACGTCAAACTATTACTATTTATTCCTGCGAATGCAAATACAATTTTTTAAATTTACAATTTTTTTTAGAATTTGTCTGACGGGTTGACTTCCTCGAATTTCCCAAAAAGCTAAAAGGGAATTGAATAACAACTTCGAAATTTCGAAAAGATACATTCGAAAAAAATATTACTTCGTGACCATAACCATGCTATATTTTTGGAGTCACGTCGGGATCTATATCTCTGAACTCAATCAAACTTTTTAGATGACTTTTTCAAAAATGAAGTTTCCCATTATGTATTCGTATTACCTCCTCTATGCAAATTTCGACCCATTCTCGACGATTTTCGAAAATTAACTAAATACTTCCATGTAGATTTTGGGTCGCAGAAGTCACTTCTGGCTTCATTTCTTCGATAACCTAAACCGTTTTTCCAGAATCGTCAATTGAAATATCGCAATTTTTATAAATAAAAAAAAAATTGAATTTCCCACCGAATTTTCCGAAAATATTGCTCCGTTACCATAAACATGCTATATTTTTGGAATCAGCACGTCGGGATATATCTGAATTTTTTCAGAATTTTTAGACAACTTTTTCAAAAATGAAATTTTACACAATGATAGTACTTGCCAAATAACCTACCCTCTAAGAAAATAAAAGGAGGGTGGGCCAGGATAATATTTGCCAAAATAAGACTCATTTTGACAAATGACTAATCTTCTAAGAAGAGGTACTAGCCCCACCCACCCACCCCTTGTTTTCTTAGAAGAGTAGGTCATCTGCCAAAATCAATCTTATCTTGGCAAACATGAGGCTGATTTTTGCAAATCACATATTCTCTAGGAAAATAAGGGTGGGAGGGCGGGGCTAGTACTTGTCAAGATAAGACTGATTTTGGCAGATGACCCACTCTTCTAAGAAAGTAAAGGGTGGGTGGGCGGGGCTAGTACTTGTCAAGATGAGACTGATTTTGGCAGATGATGAAAAATTTAAAAATCAAAAAATGACAAATTGAAAAATCGGCAAAATGAGAAATCGTAAAATTGTACAACTGTATAATCGGAAAAGCAAAAACTGAAATATCGAAAAATTGAAAAAAAACATCTTATATATCGAATTCGAAATTCCAGTTTTAATTTTTTTTTAGTTTTTGGATTTTTCAACTTTTGAATATTTCATTTGATAATTTGTTTGACAATTTTGCAGTTTTTAATTCCAATCTTTTGATTTTTCAAGTTTTAACTTCACAATTTTTGAATCTTTTGATTTTTAATTTTTCAAGTTCTCAAGTTAAAATTTTTCCTTTTCACGGGTTGTCATTTTTCGATTTTTTAACTAAAAGAACAAATTTATTCGAACCGAAATCTTGAAAAATTGAAAATTAGGAACAAAATTTTCAGATGTTTTAAAGTTCCGGTAAACATGGCAAATCGCTGATCAAAATTGCTTTTTACTTCCTTCCAAAAACTCGGTGACAAAAAATCAAAAATCGATAATTAAAAAAATAAACATCTATATTCTCGATATTTTTAAAAATCAAATAATTGAAAATTCGAAAAATGCCAAAATTGTAAAATTAAAAAATCGAAAGTTTTTTAAGTTGTCCAGAGAAATCAAAAATCGAAAGACAGATCAAAAAATTGAAAATTTAAAAAGCGAAAAATTGAAGAATTCGAAAGTTGAAAAATCGAAAAACTGAAGAATCTAGTAGTTCGCACTACGATAAGACTGATTTTGGCAAATGATCTACTCTCTTAAGAAAACAAAGGGCGGGTGGGTGGAGCTAGTAATTGCCAAAAAAAGTCCAAAGTTTAAAAAACGAAAAACTGAAAATCGGGAAATCCAGAAGTCGAAAAATCGTAAGTTTAAAAAATCGAAAAATTGAAAAATCAAAAATCTGAGAAATGGAAAAATTGAAACATCAAAAACCGGAAAAATCGCAAAATTGAAGAATTGAAGAAGTGAAAAATCGAAACTTTGGGAAGAAATGGGAAAATAAAAAAAAAGATTACTTCAGAAATCAAAAAACTGAAAATTTCTGTTTCTCGATTTTTAAGGTTTTCGTTTTTTCAATTTTTAGATTTGAAATTTGAAATTTTTCAATTTTTCGATTTTTTAAGTTTTAAACTCGGCCGATTTTTTTGTTTTTCAGTTTTTCATTTACTAAATGTTTCAATTTTTCGTTTCATCAATTTTGTTATTAGAAATTTTTAGATGTTAAAATTTTTCAGTTTTTCAATTTGAGTTTCTCTACTTTTTATTTTTGATTTTTCATTTTTTAATTGTTAGTTTTTCATTTTTCATTGTTCGATTTTTATCTTTCTCGATTTTTCGATTTTTCGCTCCATCAATCTAGTTTTTAATCTTAAATTTTTCAGTTTCTCATTCTCTGATTCGACAATGTTGCATTTTTTTATTTTTCAGTTTCTGGATTTTCACTTTTCCGATCTGAAATTTTTTTCGATTTTTTTATTTTAAAGTTGTAGACATTTGCGTTTTCGCTTTTTTCAATTTTTCGATTTTTAAGTTTCTCTGCTTTTGCATTTTTCGTTTCTCCAATCAAGTTTTCAGTGTTGAATCTTTCAATTGTTCGATTTTTTTAATTTCACACTTTGGAAATTTTTTTATTTTTCAATTCTTCAGTTTTTAGATCTTACATTTTTCTTTTTTTTTGGTTTTCAATTTTTCAGTTTTTAACTTCTTTAATTCTTCGATTTTACAATTTTTTCAATTTTTCCATTTTTAAGTTTCTCTGTTTTTAATTTTTCGATTCATCAGTTTTTAGATATCTTAATTTTTCGGTTTTCAATTGTTCAATATTTGAGTTTCCCGATTTTTTAATTCTTCATTTCTTCAATCTTGTTTCCAATTTATAATTTTTCAATTTTTCAATTTTTTGGCTTTGCAGTTTTTAATTGTTTGATTTTTCAGTTCCTCGATTTTTCACTTTTCATGTTTTCAATTTTTCGATTTTTAGAGATTTTCATCTTTCGGTTTTTTTTTCAATTTTCCTTTTTTTTAATTTTTCTATTTTTTTTTTCAAGTTTTCAATATTAAATCTTTCAGTTTTTCTATTTTTTTAAATATTCCAGTTCTTCAATTTTTCGAATTTGCAGTTTTTCGATTTTCAGTTTTCTTTTTAGTTTTTCAGTCTTTGATTGTACAATTTTGTATTTTTTTTATTTTTCAGTTTTTGGATATTTGCGTCTTTCGCTTTTTTTCAATTTTTCGATTTTTCGTTCCTTCAATCAAGTTTTCAATCTTAAATCATTCAGTTGTTCGATTGTCTTAATTGCGCAATTCGATTCTGTTTTTAGAGTTTCCAGTTTTTCACATTTTCAGTTTTCAATTTGAAATTTGTAGATTTTTTATTTTCAATTTTTCATTTTTCGATTTTTCATTCCTTCAATCTACTTTCCAATTTGAACTTTTTAATTTTTCAATTTTTCGATTTGTAATTTGCAATTTTTAGGATTTTTCATTTTAAAGTGATCGATTTGTCCATTTTCGATTTCATTTTTTTGAATTGTGGTTTTTCGACTTTTCAGTTTATACATATTTTCGTCTTACGATTTTTTAAATTTTTTTATTGAGTTTCTCGATTTACCGATCTTTTGTTCCTTCAATCAAGTTTTCAAGTTTCTAGTTCTTTCATTTTGTCGTTTCGTCAATTTTTCGATTAGAAATTTTTCAATTTTTAGTTTCTTTATTTTTTTGATTTAAGAATTTTTTGATTTTTCAATTCTTAGATATTTTAGTTGTTTTCACTTTTTTGGCTCTTGAGTTTCTGTTCTTTTAATTTTCCGATTTTTCATTTTTCACTCCTTAGTTTTTCACTTTTCATTGCTCGGGAAAGAAATGGGAAAAAAAGATTACTTCAGAAATCGAAAAACTGAAAATTTAAAAACGTCAAAATTTGAAAAATTCAAAAATCAAGATATTTAGAAATCGTAAAATAATCGAGGATAAAAATTGAGAAATTGTATCATTGAAACATCGGAAAATTGAAAAATCGAAAAATAACAAAATGGAGAAACCGAAAATTTAAAGAATGGAAAAATTGAAAATTTCCAAAATTGAAATATTGAAAAGTTGAATCATCTGAAGTTGAAAAATCGAGAAATCGAAAAGCCGAATAATCTCAATAGTATATTTATAAACCACAAGTTCAGGACTATGTTACTTTTTAACATTTAAATATCATTTGCTTTCAATAACTATAAATTGAAAAATGTCCAAAAACTCGGTGACAAAAAATCAAAAATCGGAAATTAAAAAAATAAACATCTATTTTCTCGATATTTTTACAAATCAAATCATTGAGAATTCGGAAAATGCCAAAATTGTAAAATTAAAAAATCGAAAGTTTTTTTCAGTTGTCCAGAGAAATCAAAAATCAAAAGACAGATCAAAAAATTGAAAATTTAAAAAGCGAGAAATTGAAGAATTCGAAAGTTGAAAAATCGAAAAACTGAAGAATCTAGTAGTACGCACTACGATAAGACTGATTTTGGCAAATGATCTACTCTCTTAAGAAAACAAAGGGCGGGTGGGTGGAGCTAGTATTTGCCAAAATAAGACTCATTTTGGCCAATGACCTACTCTTCTAAGAAAATAAAGAATATGTCATCTGCCAAAATCAGTCTTATCGTCGCAAGTATGAGACTGATTTTTGCAAATCACATATCCTCTAAGAAAACAAGGGTGGGTGGGCGGGGCTAGTACTTGTCAAGATAAGACTGATTTTGGCAGATGGCCCACTCTTCTAATAAAATAAAGGGTAGGTGGGAGGGGCTTGTATATTTATTTATTTGATAAGTACTAGCAAATTTCGACCCATTTTCGACGATTCTCGAAATTTAACTAAATACTTTTTCTTGTAGATTTCGAGGGCAGAAGTGACTTGCGGCCTCATTTCTTCGATAACTTTAACCTTTTTTCCAGAACTAGATAATTAATTCAGTGCATTGAAATATCACAATTTTTAAAAATCTCAAAAAATTACCTATTGAAAGAAGATCTTGCGTCATTTTTGCAAGTAGGTGCATGTTTTCGAGTTCTAAAGTTGAAAAATCGAGAAATCGAAAAGCCGAATAATCTCAATAATGTAAACCTTGATGCAATGAAATTCCTCAATGGAAGTAGACTCTCAATGGAACAGGCACTGACGCGATATCATTAAAATAGGAAAAGTTACACGTAATAAAGAGAAGTTTGTTAAAAGACGGCAGAGGTTAATCGCTCCAAATGGCTACATTGAAGTGGATTGAATTATTGACAAGTTGTTAAGTGCTGGTTCAAGGGCAGACGGTGTCGGCGTTGGGGCTGTATAAAGGTTTGCAGCAAGTAAGGAAGACTATGGAGGATGCAATGAAAAAAAGACCCTAGATTCAAGAATGAAAATTGGGATAGGTTTTTGATGGAGTTGTTTGTAATTATGATACACAGTACAATACTTCGTGAACAAGGAACAGAAACGGGAAGAAAGGAAAAGTTGAAGCAGTCATCCCTCCGGAAGAACTTTCCACTTCTTGACACCAACATTGACATTGTTGAGCAAAAATTGCATTGCTAAGGGACGGAATGGCGTAAAGCTGTCTAATAACAACAAAAACAATGTCGTTTTTGATTTGTCAGTGATGTCTGACACTGACACCCCTGCAGATCATGAAGTGGTGATAAAAAACGGTTTTTTTGTCCGCGTGATTGCCTACCGTTCAATTAAAATAATCACAGCCCTTCTGCTCACATTTCTCGTGATCGATGTTCTCTACTCAATCAAACTTTTCGTTTCTGCCATACAAATCAGGAGTCATCTTGGTTATTATATTAATATGATTTCAAGCGGTGGTGATACTTTACCTAGTTTACAAGCAGTTCCTGTTTTATTTTTTTTTATAATTAATTTTGTGATGGCATTTTTTGTGTATTCGGTGTTCGAGCAAAGCCCCAGGGCTGATTTAAACAGGCTTATGTATTTCGTGATTATGCTCAGTTTTGTGCTGCTTATTATTATCCTGATTATTATTATATGTGTAATAGCGCATGCATATAGCACACATGAGAAGCTTCACGATGGAATTGTCACCGCTATGAACCATTATTTGAACAGCACGGTGTATAAATCGCAGATTGATCGGTTACAAATAGAATTTCAGTGCTGTGGAAGCAAGAAATATGATGAGTGGTATACTGTGAAGTGGATGGACCCCAGTCTGGAACAAGGAGCCGGGTTAGTACTATGTTGTATAGTTTGGGAAATTTCATTCTACAGTGGTACAATCGCACGCAAATGTTTTGAGCCTATGGGCGGATCATTTTTGCCGGTCGTCACCGAAGGAGGCGGTCCAAATCGTCCAAGGACAGAGTTGGTAGGTGGGCTCAAACTACAACGAAATTTACGTGTTGACCAAATTCTTACCCTGAATTAGTTTTAATTTTATAAATACTTACTCTTAATTAGTTTTAATTTTATAAATGCCCTATCTAAAATGTTCAGAATATGATGAGTCTAATTGCAAAACTGAATATTTTGAAATCTTGTCAATTAGTTATAAAAGAAAAACCTGTCCTGCTCTAATAACATCGAGAATATGCTCAAAATCACACTAATATTCTATATTATTAAAGTAAGTCACGGACATTTTTTGAAGTGTACTACATTTCAAAAAGCAAAAAAAATGTTCAGTTTATAAACTTCTTAATTTTGGTTTAAAGTTTATCAATTATCATATTTGACGCTTTATTTTGAAATTTTTAAATGGAACGAAAGTCGAAGAATACTTTCAAAGCCACGATCAAAATGTATTTTCTTATCTTCGCCAAAAAATGCATGACGTCATCGTAAAATTTGATATGATGAGTCTATACCTTTGATTTATCATTGCAGTAATATTTTTTAGATTTACTTATACAGCCTGTCTCAAAAAAAGGTCACTTCGATTTTCGATTTTTCGTTTTTTCGACCAACAGTTTCATCGAATTAGATTTTTCAGTTTCCATTTTTCTATCAACTTTTCGATTTTATTACTTTCTAATTTTCTGATTTTTCAAATTTGCGGTATTTTGATTTTTCGAGTTTTCAGTTTTTTCGGTTTTCGATTTTTTAGTTTTTCGTTTTTTTTTGATTTTTCGATGTTTCGATTTTTTAATTTGCCATTCTTTCAGTTTTCGATTTTTCGTCTTTCCATTTTTAGATTTTTTGATTTTTCTGTTCGTCAGTTTTTAGACTTTGCAATTTTTTGCATTTTTCGATTATATTTTACTTTCCGATTTTTTTGATTTTTGAATTCTCGATTTTACGTTTTTAATTCTTCGATTTCCGATTTTTCAATTTTCCGGTTTTTTAACTATTCTGTTTTCGATTTTTCGATTTTCCATTAATCATAAAATTTTTCGATTTTTCGGTTGTTTTATTTTTCGACCTTCAATTTTTCAACTTTCGATTATTCGATTTTCCATTTTCTGATTTTACGATTTTTCGATTTGCCATTTTTCGATTTTGGTTTTTCCGCTTTTGTGGTTTTTCGATTTTTCTGTTTGTTTCAGTTTTTATGGTTCTGCAATTTGCAGCTTTTAGATTTCAATTTGGTGATTTTCCGATTTTCCACTTTTCGATTTTTTGATTTTTCTTCGAGCGTCGTTTTTTCGATGTTCATTTTTTCGATTTTTAGGCCTTGCAATTTTTTTACTTTTCGCTTTTTCGAGTGTTTGTTTCATCGAATTTTCGAGTTTTCGATTTTCGATTTTTCGGTTTTTCCATTTTCCGATTTTCGATTTTCCATGTTTAGATATTTTTCGATTTTTTTTTATTTTTCGATTGTTCTGTTTGTCAGTTTTGACACTTTGCAATTTTTACTTTTCCACTTTTCTATTATTTTAGTTTCGGATTATTCGATTTTTGAATTTTCTTTTTTTTTTAATTTTTCGATTTCCGATTTTTTAAATTTTGCGATTTTTCGGTTTTTTAATTTGTCGATTCTCGATATTCCGATTTTCGATTTTTCGATTTCCCAATCTTCGATTTTTCAATTTCCAGTTTCCGATTTTCCACTTTTTGATTTTACGATTTTTCGATATTTCTGTTCGTCAGTTTTTAGGCTTTGCAATTTGTTTACTTTTCGATTTTTTGACTATTTTTTTCCAGTTTTTTGATTTTTGACTTGTCGACTTTTAGAGTTTTCAACATTATGAATTTTCGAATTTTCGGTTTTCCTATTTTTCGATTTTTGATTTTTCCATTTTTCGGTTTTTTGATTTTTCAATTCTCGGTTTTTCAATCTTGCAAATTTTCGATTTTTCAGATTTGTGAATTTCCAGTTTTTCGATCGACCTACGTATTAGATTCATTGAATTTTCGATTTTCGGTTTTTCCATTTTTAGATTTTTGATTTTCCAGTTTTGCATTTTCAGATTTTCTGTTTTTCGCATATCTGATTTATCAAATTTTCGATTTTTCGGCTTTTCAATTTTACGATATTTGATTTTCGAATTTTCGATTGTTCAGTTTTCCATTTTTCAGCCTTTAGACTTCAATTTTTTTACTTTTCGATTTTCCAAATTTTCGAATTTCAATTTTCAGATTTTCGATTTTTCGATTTTCTTTTTAAATCTTTGAATTTTTCGGTTTTGATTTTTCGAATTTTTGATTTTTAATTTTTCCATTCTTCGGTTTTTAGACTTCAATTTTCTTTCTTTTAAATTTGTCGATATTCTATTTTCCGCTTTTCAGAATTTTCGATTTTCAGTTTTCAGACTTTCGATGATTAGAATTTTGGATTTTTCAGTTTTATGATTTTTCGATTTTTAGAAAATTTGAGTAGTCGAATTTTCGATTTTTCAATTCATCGATTTTTCCATGTTCAACTTTTCAATTTAAATTTTGCCATTTTCAATTTGTCCATTGTCGATTTTTAGAATTTTCGGTTTTTCAATTTTTCCATTCTCAACTGTTAAGACTTCAATTTTGTTACTTTCCGATTTTTTGGTTTTCGATTTTCCAATTTTCAGAATTTCCAAGTTTCTTTATTCAGATTTTCGATTTTCCACTTTTTCGATTTTAGATTTTTCGAATTTTTGTTTTTCCAATTTTTTGCTTTTTTGATTTTTCTGTTCGTTTCAGTTTTTAGGCTTTGCAATTTTTTTTTACATTATATATTTTGATTATTTTAATTTCCGATTTTTTTATTTTTGTTTTTGATTTTTTTAATTTTCAATATTACAAATTTCTGACTTTTCGATTTTTTGGTTTTCCCGTTTTTCAATTTTCGTTTTTGAGGTTTGTGAATTTCCAGTTTTTCGATCGACGTACGTATTAGATTCATTGAATTTTCGATTTTCGGTTTTCCATTTTTAGATTTTTGATTTTCCAGTTTTGTATTTTCAGATTTTCTGTTTTTCGCATATCTGATTTATCAAATTTTCGATTTTTCGGCTTTTCGATTTTTCGACATTTGATTTTCGAATTTTCGATTGTTCAGTTTTCCATTTTTCAGCTTTTAGACTTCAATTTGTTTACTTTTCGATTTTCTTTTTAAATCTTTGAATTTTTCGGTTTTGATTTTTCGAATTTTTGATTTTTAATTTTTCCATTCTTCGGTTTTTAGACTTCAATTTTCTTTCTTTTAAATTTGTCGATATTCTATTTTCCGCTTTTCAGAATTTTCGATTTTCAGTTTTCAGACTTTTAGAAAATTTGAGTAGTCGAATTTTCGATTTTTCAATTCATCGATTTTTCCATGTTCAACTTTTCAATTTAAATTTTGCGATTTTCAATTTGTCCATTGTCGATTTTTAGAATTTTCGGTTTTTCAATTTTTCCATTCTCAACTGTTAGACTTCAATTTTGTTACTTTCCGATTTTTTGGTTTTCGATTTTCCAATTTTCAGAATTTCCAAGTTTCTTTATTCACATTTTCGATTTTCCACTTTTTCGATTTTAGATTTTTCGAATTTTTGTTTTTCCAATTTTTTGCTTTTTTGATTTTTCTGTTCGTTTCAGTTTTTACTTTATATATTTTGATTATTTTAATTTCCGATTTTTTTATTTTTGTTTTTGATTTTTTTAATTTTCAATATTACAAATTTCTGACTTTTCGATTTTTTGGTTTTCCCGTTTTTCAATTTTCGTTTTTGAGGTTTGTGAATTTCCACTTTTCAATCGACCTAGGTATTTGATTCATTGAATTTTCGATTTTCTGTTTTTTGCATTAGTGAATTTCGGTTTTTCCGGTTTGTGAATTTCCAGTTTTTCGATCGACGTACGTATTAGATTCATTGAATTTTCGATTTTCGGTTTTCCATTTTTAGATTTTTGATTTTCCAGTTTTGTATTTTCAGATTTTCCGTTTTTTGCATATCTGATTTATCAAATTTTCGATTTTTCGGCTTTTCGATTTTTCGATATTTGATTTTCGAATTTTCGATTGTTCAGTTTTCCATTTTTCAGCTTTTAGACTTCAATTTGTTTACTTTTCGATTTTCTTTTTAAATCTTTGAATTTTTCGGTTTTGATTTATCGAATTTTTTATTTTTAATTTTTCCATTCTTCGGTTTTTAGACTTCACTTTTCTTTCTTTTAAATTTGTCGATATTCTATTTTCCGCTTTTCAGAATTTTCGATTTTCAGTTTTCAGACTTTCGATGATTAGAATTTTGAATTTTTCAATTCATCGATTTTTCCATGTTCAACTTTTCAACTTAAATTTTGCGATTTTCAATTTGTCCATCGTCGATTTTTAGAATTTTCGGTTTTTCAATTTTTCCATTCTCAACTGTTAGACTTCAATTTTGTTACTTTCCGATTTTTTGGTTTTCGATTTTCCAATTTTCAGAATTTCCAAGTTTCTTTATTCAGATTTTCGATTTTCCACTTTTTCGATTTTAGATTTTTCGAATTTTTGTTTTTCCAATTTTTTGCTTTTTTGATTTTTCTGTTCGTTTCAGTTTTTACTTTATATATTTTGATTATTTTAATTTCCGATTTTTTTTATTTTTGTTTTTGATTTTTTTAATTTTCAATACTACAAATTTTTGACTTTTCGATTTTTTGGTTTTCCCGTTTTTCAATTTTCGTTTTTGAGGTTTGTGAATTTCCACTTTTCGATCGACCTAGGTATTTGATTCATTGAATTTTCGATTTTCTGTTTTTTGCATTAGTGAATTTCGGTTTTTCCGGTTTGTGAATTTCCAGTTTTTCGATCGACGTACGTATTAGATTCATTGAATTTTCGA